ATAGGAGAAATAGATTTTGGAGAAAAGAGAGAATGAGTATCTCTCACGTATATTAATCATATATATAGTTACATGTACGAAACCCTAACCTACTACACAAGGTAACATATTATACAAGGTAACTAGAATAAATAAGAATAATAATAATATACGTAATATATATAATATATACGCTAATACACCCCCGCAGTCGAAACAGGAAAGGAAAGGACGTGGAGACTGTAGACAAACTGTTGGAACAGTTGAGTAGGGAGTCCTTTCGTGAAGATATCGGCAAACTGGTAGGCGGATGGGACGTGAAGAACTCGAATGTGTCCCAAAGCAACTTTGTCTCGGACAAAGTGGATATCGATCTCCACATGTTTCGTACGAGAGTGTTGAATAGGATTGCTGGATAGGTAGACGGCACTGACGTTGTCACAGTAGACAATAGTGGCTTTCGAAAGTGGGCAGAGCAACTCAGAGAGTAGGTTGCGTAACCAAGTCGTTTCGGCGACGGCATTTGCGACAACTCGATATTCGGCCTCCGCACTCGATCGAGAAGTAGTGACCTGTCGTTTGGAGGACCAAGATATGAGGTTGTTGCCAAGGAAAACACAATAGCCCGATGTCGAACGACGAGTGTCAGGGCAGCCACCCCAATCGGCGTCGGAGTAAGCGATAAGGGAGAGGTCCGGATTGGGGGAGAGCTGAAGGCCGTGATCGAGAGTGGCACGAATGTAGCGAAGGCTATGCTTGAGAGCAGCCATATGAGGTTCCCTCGGATCATGCATGAATAAACATATTTGTTGCACAACATAGCAGATGTCGGGACGAGTGAACGTGAGGTATTGCAGTGCACCGGCAAGGCTGCGATAAATAGTAGGGTCAGCAACGGGGGGTCCAGTGGTCGAAGACAACTTGCTCTTTGTGTCAGCCGGCGTAAGACAAGGGTTGCAGGAAGCCATGTGTGCACGCTCTAGTATCTCGTCGGCGTACTTGCGTTGAGAGAGAAATAGCCCCTTCGACGAGCGAGTAACTGAGATGCCGAGAAAGTAGTGAAGGTCGCCAAGATCCTTCATTGCGAACTCTTGATTGAGGGCAGCGATGATAGAGCGGATCAATTCAGGTATGGAGGCCGTAAGTACAATGTCATCGACATACAGCAGAAGGTAGGCGCATGAACTGTTGCGACAGTCGCGTGAACTGTTGCAACAGTCGCGTGAACTGTTGCGACAGTACACAAAGAGTGAAGTGTCGGACTTGCATTCTCTGAACCCCATGGTAGTAATGTGAGATGCAAAACGCATGTACCAAGCACGTGGTGCCTGCTTGAGACCGTAGAGTGCTTTGTTGAGACGATACACGTGAGTGGGGCGAGATGAATCGACGAATCCGGGAGGTTGCTCGCAGTAGACAGTTTCAGAGAGATTGCCATGTAAGAAGGCATTTTTCACATCAAGCTGGTGGATTGGCCATGATCTCGAAAGAGCAATACTGAGAACTGTTCGAACAGTGGCTGGTTTGACAAATGGGCTAAAAGTCTCGTCGAAATCGATGCCAGCCTGCTGGTGAAACCCACGAACAACCCATCGTGCTTTGTATCGCTCAAGGGAGCCATCAGACTTGAGTTTTTGTTTGTATATCCACTTACCAGAAATAACTTTAGTGAACAGGGGGCGGGGCACAACATTCCAAGTATTGTTTTTAATTAAAACAGTATATTCCTCAATCATGGCGTTTCGCCAATTTTGGTTAAGAAGAGCTTGACGATAGTTGGTGGGAATGGAAGAGGTAGAGGACGCAACAAGAGAGAAAGGGACTTTGGGTTTGTGGATGCCCATTTTACTACGAGTCACCATAGGGTGAGCAGAGGGAGGTGTGGGAGTAGGAGAAGGAGACGTGGGAGTAGGAGAAGGGGTTGTGAGCTGGTCGTGGTCGAGAGGTGGTGCTGCAGGTGAAACAGGTGTTGGCTGTGTTATAGGACTGTTGGACGAACTGTTGGAACAGGGTGGTTCACTGTTGGAATAGTTGGAGGTACTGATGCAAAAGTTAGACGAAGTCTGAGGGAGGAGGAACATGGAGGGTTTGTTTTCGTCCAAAGCAAAGGTAGGAAGTGTGTTTTGGGGTAAGTTGACTCAGCAAAAGGAAAGCGAGTTTCGTCGAAGGTAACATGACGAGAAATTATGATTCGGCCAGTGGATCTATCAAGGCAACGATAGCCTTTGTGAGAGGAAGGGTGACCGAGATAGACACAAAGAGTAGAACGGGGGGCGAGTTTATGTGGTGTGGTGGCGGTGAGGTTGGGATAACAGAGACAGCCGAATACTCGAAGATGAGAGTATGTAAATTTGATGAGGTAAAGAGCTTCGTGAGGAGTCCGGTTTTGTGTGGTTTTGGTAGGTAAGATATTTAGTAGGTGTGTGGCCATATGAAGGGCTTCGACCCAATAAGTAGGAGGAAGATGAGCTTGAAAGATGAGGGATCGAATCATGTTAGAGATAGTGCGGATCATTCGTTCTGCGTGTCCGTTTTGAGGGGAGGTGCGGGGGCACGAGAAACGATTTAGGATGCCGTGTTTAGTGAAGTAGTTTTGAAAATCCGCATTTTTTAATTCACGACCATTATCACTTTGTAAGGCTTTCGGGGATGTTGGAATTGATTTTTGAGAAGTGTATGAAAATTGACAAAGGTTGTAAAAATGTCAGATTTATTTCGAAGAGGAAAAGTCCATAAATAATGGGTAAAATCATCAACTAACACAAGGTAATATTTGAAACCCGTAAGACTAGAAACAGGATAAGTCCATAAATCAGCATGAATAATTTGGAATGGAGCAACAGTAGTAGATTTTTGAGAAAAAAATGGTAGACGAAAATGTTTGCCTAATTGACAGGCATTACAAAGAGACTCCCTATGGTCTTTATTATAGGAAAGAAAAGTGCTAGAAAATAAACGGGACATGACGTGTTTGCCGGGATTGCCTAGACGCCGACGCCATAGAGTGCGAGGCGAAGGTGTTGCGACAGTGACGAAAGCATTGGGAGGTGAGGTGGGAGGAGGAACGCCAATGGATATAGGTCACCGGAGCTATTGCACCTGAAAATCTCGACTCGACTCCGAAGATCCTTCACATAAACACCAAATGGGTCAAATTCAACCGAACATGAGTTATCGCGGGTGAACTTTCGAACATAGATAAGGTGTTTGACGATATTGGGTGTGACATAGACATTTGTGAGGCGGAAAAGAGTGGTGGGAAGAATTGTGTGGCCTATGTGGGTTATAGGAAGGGTGGAACCATTACCGACGACGACATGTTTGGGGAAATTACTGCCAGGATTAAAAACAAAATTGAAATTACCTGAGTGTGGTGCCATATGAGAGGTCGCCCCGCTGTCCATGAACCACTGTGACTCGGTATGTGACTCGGTAGGCTGCTGAAGTGTCACCGTATTCAAACGGTTTGCGAGATCCACCACGTTGGCACTGTTGCAGGAACTGTTGCAACTGTTGATGAAACTGTTAGAGCCGTGGCATGGTTGCTGGTGCGGATGAACCTGAGTAAGAGCCGAGTGGCCGGTGTAGGGTTTAGGTGGTCCAGTAAAGTAGGCTTGAGCCGCTGGAGTGGATGGGTGGCCCGACGTATTTGGAGCGGATCCCAGAATTGACGGGTGTCGGTAAGATGCGCGCCAGAGGTGAGATGTACCATGAGCACTATGGTAGCCGTAGTGCTGCATGGGGTGACGGTCAGTGCTGCGACCTCCGCGACGGTTGGATCGGCCACCCCCGCGCTGATAGTGCGAAGAACTACCTCCGCGGGAACTGTTGCAGGAACCGTTGCAACTGTTGGATGGACAGTTCGCGTTGGAGGCGTAGAAAACAGCAGCGGTCTGCTCCGGTTCAGCAATTCTTGTTTCTTCCATCTGAAGAAGCGATCGAGTCTGTAGAAAGGTGGGAAGGGAATTCTGAAAGGAGATGAGGTTGGCGACGGTCTCGTAATTTTTCGGAAGGCCGTGTAGGGTTTGTAGGACGAGTTGTTTGTCGGAGATTGGATTTCCGACATCGGCCAAGTTGCCCGCCGTGGTTTTGATTATTTGGCAATAATCGTGAATGGAGAGAGTGCCTTTCTTGAGGGACTTGAATTTTTCTTCAAGTTGAATGGCTCGATAATCTTTGTTATCGGTGAAGAGGGAAGAGATGGCGGTCTATAGATCACTGGCGGTGGAAGTTTTTGAGAGAACCATGCTGGACAAATCATCGGAGATGGTGCCGTAGATCCAATATTGGAGGAGATAGTCGGCGCGCTGCCATTCATCGGCAGAAATCGAATCCGGTCGGGGTTTTCCATGTAGAAGATCGGACATGTAGAAGATCGGAGAGGCAGAAACAACTGACGGTAATTGTGAAAAAGTGGCTCCACTTTTGATAATTGGGATTTTTCAGATCTAGAGTAACGGGGATAAGAGATTTGATATTAGAGATGACATGAGCAAGGTGAAAGGGATTGAGAGGGGCGGTGGAGGGAGAAGAAGTGTCGCCGGCCATGGAGAAGAAGGGGGGGCGACGGCTATGGAGAAGAAGGGGTGGTGACGGCTAGGTTAACCTAGTGTATGATACCATATAGGAGAAATATTTTGGAGAAAAGAGAGAATGAGTATCTCTCACGTATATTAATCATATATATAGTTACATGTAGGAAACTCTAACCTACTACACAAGGTAACCTATTATACAAGGTAACTAGAATAAATAAGAATAATAATAATATACGTAATATATATAATATATACGCTAATAGTTTGATATCCTCAATAACTTACCGGGTTGATCCGCAAATATTATGTTATCATGGCTTATTTTAAAACTCCGATACCTAGCTATCAAAGGCTTTGGGAGAAATATATGTTGGCTGGTCATATCACATACTATCTATCATTTTCTTACATTTGAAGGATTTTTTTCGGCATACAAGATAAATTAACTGGGGCTCGATCTCCACTAGCATAATGCACATAATATAAGTCAATATTAGCATTTTTGCTGGATCGGGATGAATTTTCAATGTCCAAATATTTAGAATCGGATTCGGGATCAATTCATTACCGACCTTGCTGAATAGCCATTCTCTTGGCATAGAAAAAACATGTAGACAACAGCAATGACGCTTTATATATCATTAATTACACGTCGCAAAAAAAGAAAAAAAAGCAAATTCTAAGAATGTTGTAACAATTTATACCTTGATATATTTATATTGACGCCTAGTTCGTTTTTTGACCGTAGCATACGGCTATTTAGGAACGCTAGTTTTTGAAGGGCCACATCTTTCTTTCATGGCATTGTAGAGTTGCTCTCCGTTCTGTATGCCACGAAGAAACACGACTGTCAAATATTGAGGGTTATAAGCAAATAATAAGACGGCTAAAAATTCTACGGAAACTTACAAATATTACTGGGAAGAAGTGAATTTGTCCTTCGGGTTTTGTTTGTGTCTCCTTAAAGTAAACCAAGATTGGGAAACTAGGCCACCAGAGCTCCCAATTCACAAATGTTGAATATCTAGCAATTTTATTTAAATAGTAAAACAATTGCTTTAGTGTGAGGAAATGAATCAGGTTACTAAAAGTAAAAGGGTATATACTTACTTCCAGCGGTTTTTGCCACCTACAAAAGCATTTTCACCCGAGTCTTGGAGCTCATCACCGACTTTTACCTCCTGCGATCACGTTTCTTGGAATAAATACGATATGTATAGAGATGCCGTATATCAAGATGTAAAACAACCGTGCTAATTGTTTATGCTGATTTCTGTTTATATATATATATATATAAATGCAGAAGGTGATTAGACGGCGCTACGACATCTGAAACTCGTATATGGGGCAAAATGCACCAAGTTGTATGTTTCGAAGCGGGACAGTCTCATTTTTGTATTTTGAGGGGGGAAGTGCAAAAAAGGATTCTTTTGAGGGGGCGAAGTGCAATTTGCCCCTAATCAAATGCAAGATTATAAAATGCATCGGTCATGATTGTAGATTGTTCTGGGCTGAGAAAACAAACCAGGGAATTTTCATCAAACACGAATCTCACTCTCGTTGCCTGAAACAAGAAAATCAAAATTACTGATTTTCAATTTTCAAATGATAAAAAAATCAACTAGGAAGAATATCAACTCTATGATTTTTGATTGAAAAATTACCTGTACTAAGAGGAGTAACCCTAGAAGGCCAAAAGGGGCGGCTGCTGCTAAATTATCCGTATAAACAAAACCGCCACTCATACCTGCCCAAGTTAAGAGACTCCGACATTAAGAACGTAACCATTATATGCGAGCTTCTACACATGTGTGTGTGGAACATATATAAAACACATCGAACAATGTAAGAGATCGTAAAAATGAAAAATAGAAATGAACATCGATAAACTATGTGCATCTCGGTTGTGAGGACCCACCGAGAAGTACGATTGGAATGCGGTAATCGGGTTCGGGAATGATTGTCCGTTTCTTAACTCCCTTTCCGAGCTGCAAAACGCGAAAACTAGTTAGTTCTTGCATTTTAAGGATGCGGTTTTATAAGCTTCAAATCCGGAGAAAAGGCAATAAAATTGTTGCCTCAGACCATAAGTTTCCATCCAATTGCAAAAGCATTTCCGGAAATTTTCTTCACTGACATTCAAAAAGGTTAAAAGCTATGTAGCACGGAAACTTCAACTTCCTAACGTATCCGCGTTTCGTTTCCAACACTCGAGGACACCTGCCGGACACTTTATGGACCATTTTGCAATTTCTGAAAAGTTAGAAACATGCTTGACTACCGAATTTCCAAATAGTTTTTTTACTTCCCTAATTATTTACATGATTTAATGATCAATTGCGAACTGATAGTTTGATAATAATATATATTTTGAATATTTGTATAGAAATGTTAAAAAGAACTTATATTTAAATAAAATCTTAAATGTTTATATAGCATATTTATAATTTTAGAGACATGTCATTTCCCTGTATCGCCGTGTTTGTTTCCATGTCAGTGCTACATAGGTTAAAAGTGATTTTTTTTCAACATAATTTGATGATTCAACATGAAATACACATTGTTTGAGATAATATGAAAAAAAAAAAAAAAAAAAAATCCAAAATAGCGATTAATGAAAAATGAGAGAAAAATACGAACCGCAGAAGAAACAACTGCACGCCTTCTCGGAGCAATTCCTGAATTTCTCGTAGAAAGGGAAAATGTGTACATAAATTTGCCGCTCAGCAAATTGTGAGATGATTGGCTTCCAGAAACGCCTACTTTGTCATAATCTGATAAGAGAAGAAGCTTAATCGCTCAAATTGCAACAGTAATGAAGAAAATTGAAAGCGAATTGGGGGCAGAAGGCTCACGGTTTGAATAAACAAATGGAGAAGAAGCGCATAAGAGAGCTGTTTCCATGGCGGAAATGCAGAGAAGATAGTTTTTCTCTCACTAGAAAAAAAAAATGTTCGATTTGTAGAAGTGGGGAATGAGAGGTGGAGGAGTGATGCTGCTGTGTGCGTCTGTCGTCCAATTACACACTGACTGTGTGTAAACAACTTACTCGAGATATTTTATTAACAACTTATTTTAGCTCGATTTTTTTTTTTTTTTTTTTGGTAGCTCGATTTGTTAGCGTTACGAGTTCAAATTGAACATTTATTTTCGTGTTCGATAAGTTACAAATTTTTGTTCGGTTCGATTAGGAAAAAGAAAAAAATCAAGCAATTGGAGCACGATTTGCGTCTGATTATGTTAAAGTCTATGTAACACGGAAACTTCAACGTTTTAATGTTCTCGAGTTTCGAACACGTTTCGTGTCCGGCATGAGAACATCTGACGGACACCTTATGTGTCGTCTTGCAATTTCTAAGAAGTTAGAAACATGTTTGAAGAGTAAATTTTTTAATATTTTGTTGTTTTCCTAATTATTTATATGATTAAATTGATCAATTACAAATTGATAGTTGATAAGTAAAATATATTTTGAATATGTTTGCATGAAAATAAAAAATAATAATTTATATATAAAAACTTATATATGTTGATATAGCATATTTATATATACACGTTTCCCCCAATCTCCCGTATCAACGTATCGTCGTTTTCGTGTCCGTGCTACGTAGGTTAAAGCTGAATCGAGCTCGACTCAATCCCCTAAACCAATATTAAAACACTTATCGGCAGTTCGATAACATCTATTCACATCGGATCAATTCATTTACACACCTAACACTAATCGACGGATCATATCAAAATTAGCATTTTCGAAACAAATTCAATTAGATTTGAAGGTGCAAACTAATTCAAATTTGTTCAAAACATTTTCGTATAAGCTAAGAAAATCAGAATTTCGGAGATCGAAATGAAATATATCTTTTCCCAAATTTGAAATCGACAAAATTCGTATATTTTGTTTATTTATTCAAAAATTAAAATCCGGCTGCAAATCAGAATCTCGTATAAAATGACAATTCCAATAAAAGAAATTTGAAAACCAAATTCAATAATCATAATTAAAAAACAAAAATGGAAAAACATTCGAAAATCTAATCGGAATCCACAACATTCGCAAATGCCTACTACCTCTAGCTGTTATTTGTCTCATACTCTACTTTGAAAAGAGTATAAATTACACCTACACCCTTGAGGTATATTAAAATAACTTTTAAGCCTCTGTTGTATTGGTAATTACAGTCACACTCCTGAAACAATTATCCGAGCCAAGATTTTTTGCCCCGGAGACCGATATGCACTATATATGTTTACCACGGAGCCGTTAATGCTACCATAGACGAAAATTTATAAATCATATATAAAATAATAAGAATTTAAGAAATATTAGGAGAACTATGTCACCCCTTAGCTCTATGTTTTCTCTACCACTGTCTGAAACTAATAGTCCGGTAGAAACCTAACGGAATAACTTATACAATGCATGATCCCATCAAAGTTCCTAACAATGTTTCAAGGGTGATTGTAATTACCAATACTATAGGAACCTTAAAGATATTTTAGCATACCTCAGGGACGAAAGTGTAATTTACCCTTGATAATAAGATCTTATAATTCTGAAAACCATAATTCCAAAAATACCCATTCAATTTCAAACACCGGAAGAAGCGAAAAAAGTAAATACTACAGCAGTATTATTTTTGAAAATCATAATTCCAAAAACCATTAAACAACAATAGATCATTCCAACATTCATATTTTCAATATGATGATAAAAATCATAAACAATGTAATAAGATCCCATGTTTTCATTATTAAACAAGCACAAACATCTGAAGGATTCAAACACTATTTAAATCGGTCCAATCAATTCTTCCAAAGGCTAGTTATTCTGTGGGTCGGTAAAGAAGCTGTTAAGCGACGGCATAATCTCCGGTTTTCGATTACGAACATATTTTCTCAGAGCATGCTCCTTGTACTTGTGTCCCTCGTCGAAATTATCCAAAATTCCAGCAGCCCTGTTTTCCTTGTTCACCCTGCCCAGACAACAACACGCATATATATAACATCCGGTATTATTGCAATTATATTTCCAAAAGATATTTAGCATTTGAAGCTAATAAATACGGAGATCTGTTTGCTTCATAGATTTGAGAGACGGAAACAAGTCGAATCTTTTCTACCACATGCAACGATGGCTTGTAAAACAACCGCTTAGACCTCCCGAATGTGATGATTTGTAAAATTTTGTACGATTGATTTAGTATTTAATAATAATAAATACATATGATATTTTACTGCAAATAAAATGTACACAAAAAATAGTCAGTCATACAAGTATTATTAAAGGTCTCTTAAGTTTGTGTTTTCGTCGTTTCGTGTATCTGTAGTTAATATTAAAGGTCTCTTAAGTTTATGTTTTAGTAAGTAAAAATTTTACTTTCTTGAATCAAGATCAGTACTGATTAATATTTGACTACTTAAGAAATTCCGTATTTGTTCGCCTGTGATATTCGCAGAAACTTAATTTGTAATGTAGAAAAACAAACCAAAAAAAAAACAAAAATTAGAGAGCATCGGCTTGTTTTTGTTTTAGGGAACAAAATAACTAATTACAGACACCTTGGAGGCAACCAATATAGCAAATATCGAATTCACAACTCGAACTACTTAGACAAAGGTTGACCTCATACTTCATATTTCTAAATCAAGAATTCAGGAAAAAAAACAATGTCAAGAACCCGATTTCTTAAGGTTTTCAGACTTGATATTGCCAAAGTTTCATGATTAAGAGTACTCATATATACCTAGGGTAAATTATGGCCACCCCTGAGGTAAGGTCAAATTACGAAAAACCCCACATGTTTGGGTAATTATAATCTCCCCTCCACTGTGAATCTTCTTACACGTCCATCCTTTAAGTGTCAAATTTAGTGGAATCTTCTAAATTATGTAGAATGTTCTCCAGTTTGTACCCGTTTTACCCCATTAGAGCTCCACATTTTCAAGCAAGATGATAAAAATATGTATCTCTTGGCTTGTAAATATCAGATTGTGATGCATCAGAAAATGCATTTTTTTTTTTGCATAAAATGAGTACAAACTAGAGAGCATTCCACAAAATCTAGAAGATTATGTTGAATTTGCCACCATAAGGGTGGACGTGTAATAAAATTTACAGTTGAAGGGCTGGTTGTAATAACCCAAACATGAGGGGGTTTTCGTGATATGACCTTACCTCAGGGGTGACCGTAATTTACCATATATATAGCCTATATATAGAAGTATGTCTCAAAGGCCCAAAAGATTACGAAATAATTCTTCGTTCAATTACAACTAATTAAAATCAATCCAAGGGTCCATTTGGATAGAAGGATTTAATTTGGGGAAGAGATTTGAAATGACACCAATTTGAAGTCATTTGAAATCCACCGCAATTGCTCCAAAAATAACAAAAAAAAATAAGGGATGTGGATTTGAAATTCCTCGTCAAATCCCTCAATCCAAACAAGTTAATATGGATTCGAAATCACAAACCCCAAAAAAAAAAATCCTTCCATCCAAATGAAATCCAAGAAATTTAACCCTAACTTCGAAATTCACAAATTAAATACACATCAGTTAAATTTCCCCAGTACACAAAATCAACTGGCACCAAATCACCCCAGAAAATTAATTACTCTTCCAAATCTACATCTCACTTTACTTATACACGCAGAAGTGTGTGTGTGTGTGTGTGTGTGTGTGTGTTCTAGAGAGAGAGAGAGAGAGAGAGAGAGAGAGAGAGAGAGAGAGAGAGAGAGAGGGTATACCGGACTTCAGTGGTTGCCGCAGATATTGCGGACCAGTTGAAAACCACAGATCCCCACAGCAAGCCCTGTAGCTGCAAACAGTGGATACACCTACACACACACACAAACACAAGATGCATCAGCGATAAAGATCCAGTAAATTAAAATCGATTAATCAAAAACAGATGATAAAGAAAAATAAAGTTGAGAAAAAAACCTCGGGCCGGATCCAGCGGTTGGCAGCGGCCATTTTCAAGAGTTTTCCTTTTCTTTTCTCTCTCTTTTTCTTTGGGTAGAGGAGAAAATGAGGGTTGAGGAATGATTTTTAGTTTATTTATTTGTTGATTACTGCTTCAATTTTATTTATTTTCGGGTAAAATTTATTTTGCGCCCATGTACTATGGGAAACATATTATTTACCCTCTAATGTATAGAAAACATCAAATGCCCCCCTTTATTTTTTGGTCAATGGTCAAACTTTTAACGGTGTTAAATTTGAGTGTGTAATGACTCTTTTACTCCACTTCATGTCTGATATAATCCCCTGATTTTTTTTTCTAGTTTGTTTCACTTTCTAGGATTGTTGACGATTTTTAGCGTTCGATTTAATTAGATTTTTTTGTCGATTTTAGTGTTTGATTTTGGAGGGTTTCAGTTTTCTTTTTTGGGGATTTTGCAACGATAATATGAAAAACTTTGTTTTTAATTTACAATTCTTATAAATTAGGGTTTCATTTTAATTTTGGGGTTTTTTTTTTTAATTTTAAGGATTTTCGATTTTCTTTTTTGTGAGCTTTTGCATTTATAATCTGCAAAGCTTTATTTTTATTGATTTGATTTTTCAGTTTATTTATGCTGAAGGAAAGAAAAAATGTTTGAAAAGAGTTACAAATGACTGAAAAAAGTGAGGAAAAAAAAGGCCGAAAATAATGAAAATTTTGATGAAAAATTGCCAAACTATACTTAAAGATTTTTTGGGGTTTCGTCAAAAAAAACCAACTCCTCTTTGTAACAGTCATTCTAAGGATTTGACTAACGGAATCAGTAAAAATGTTAACGATAGCTGTTTGTTTGATGTTTTTTTATACATTAGAGGGTAAATAATATATTTTGAATAGTATAGGGTGAAAAAAATACCCATTATTTTTTAAATGCCTTGCAATATAATTTTGATATTACTACGGAAAAGATAAGGTTCTTGAAATTGGAGAGAAGGCTGATTGGCAAGTTGGTGGGGACATTTGACTTTTGGGTCCATACTTAGCCAATGACATGTCAACACGTCTCCAAACCGTAAAAGAAAATCATGTTTTTTTCAACTTTTGGCAAATTACCGCTACCCTAATATAGTCAAATTACGAAAAAATTTCCTCTTATTAATAAAAATTGTTATAATTACTTTGATATAAGGGATTGTTTCGTAATTTGACCTTAAATCAGGGACTGCTGTAATATTCGGGCTATTGTAAAGCATACAAGTTACCAAAAAATCTAATGGGCTAGGCCGGCTTAATTCTAGTTGTTAAAAAATACCAGCCCGTTATGATTCTGAGCTATAAATATGAAACGGGAATAATCCTTTTCTTTTTCCTTTATGTCGAATTGCTAAAAAATTATTACATGTTATTCTATTGGCAAAAACTCCCTATGATTTAATTTTGCTTTAACACGCAACTGCCTAAACATGAGTAATTGCTAAAAAAATTGCAGATATAACAAATGCTCGATTTTTACTTTCGCCTAAGTCCGCCTAAACCCTAAGGTCCGGATAAAGGTGCATGTATATCTGCACAATGACATGTTATCTATCATTTATATATAAAATAAAAAAATCAAGAATTTTATTTAATCCTCCATCTACTGTATTTTTCAAAAAAGAGAAGATTAACATAATAAAGAGTGAAATTTGAGAATTTAGAACTTAGGTATCTAAATTTTGAACAAAGAAAAGAAAAATGAACAGAAAAGGAGAGAACAAGATATATAATTTGGGGGTTGACTTACCAATTCTAATATTTCCATGGTCTAAATTACTACTTTTCGCTTTTTTGGGGTGTAAAATGCAATTCAGCCATTTATTCCCCAACCAATTTGGAAGGGGAAACAAAAAAGGAAATAATTTTTTAAAATCAATAATAACAAGTTTCTTCATTTGCATTTGGATTGAATGGTTCGAATTCGACGAGAAAATTTGTGGGATTGAAATGATTTCGTCAAAATTAATGATAATATTCATTAAGTGACGGTAATAAAATGAACTATAGAGATAACGGATGAAAATAAAACATACGATAAATAAAAATTAAAATAAAACTATATGTTAAAATAAATCATAGCTTATGAAATTTGGCCTAATTCATTATTTTATATGAATTGATCAACCAATATTTCACACAATTTTCCCATTGTAATAATTTCCAAATTTATGATGTTGGTTTTATTATTAGAACCTAACAAAAATCATTAACTCACCACCACCTTTTAACATTTCCACCATATTTCTTAAACCAAAAATAATAAATAAAGAAAAAAGAAAAAGCATGTATACACCCTATCAAAATACCATTGATTAAAATTTGGATGCAATTCTATTGAAACGATAGAGAAAGTTTTATTATTAGTTACTAAAATATCTAGTAACTTTCTCCATTTCATAAAAGCGAAATCACATCACCATATTGCATAAAAAAGATGCTCGCCTTACTAATAAGTGGCTGCTGACGAGTTATAACGAGAAATCGAAAATCTATTGAAGACAAAGAATACATGCGATCGATCCTTTTAAATTTAGTTATTCCTTTTAAAAATAGTTAGTTTCTCTTAACTATATTTTTTAACTTTTATATATAAAAGCGCGTAACGTACATATCAATCCATCGTTACTACAATAAGTCGAGAATCTATTGGAAACAGTACACGTGTGAGACTATTAACTCGAGCAATTTTGATCCGTGACAATAAAAAAAACGAAGAATTTCTTAGGTTTCTTGTAAAATAATTTTGGTAACTTTTATATAAAATTCTCACACTCTATTTACATTTTTTTACCTATATTCAACAACTTTTTTTTTTTTTTTTGAGAAGCTATATTCAACAACTTGTTGCAATTTGCAAAATAGTTTTTGACTCTCTCTTATATTTACGTGGGGATTAATTAACTAACCTTTTTGAATAAAAACAAAATCTTAAATACATGGTTACAAAAAGGCCCCGCAAATCCCTAGTGATATTCGCATCACCTAACATAGGGGGCAACTGAAAATAACGTGAAATAGAGGGGTAAAATTGTCAGTTGAGGTACTATATATATGTCTTCCCAGTTGTAACTCACGCTCACGCATTCCCGTTTGAAGAGTCGAAAAAAAGAGAAAAAAAAAAAACGAAAGGGTTGGAGCGCAGCAGAAGCAGTTTCCGTTATCCACATTCTCTCCTCTTTCTCTCTCTATATCTAGGCGTTTTTCTCTCTCTCTCCTCCCGTATCTCCGATCAAGTTAGGGTTTTTCCGATTGGCGAACGAGTTGACTCAGCCATGATTTCTGATTCGATCCCCAACGCCTCAATCGCCATGGCCTCGGCTAACCCCAAAGAGTTCGCCAAGAAAAAGAGGGTACGCCGATTCTGTAAATTTGAGATTTTTTTTTCTTCTCTTCACCTCCATTAAAGCTGCGCTTATATTTCTGGATTGCCTTTAATCTTTCTCTTCACGTTTCCTGTAATTTCAAATTTGTTTTCGGGAATTGTTTTTTTTGTTGAATTTGATTGGGGAAAGTTTTTGATTTTATCTAATTGCTTCAATACGTTTCCGTGTGTGGTTACAATTATTTTATCAATTATCTTCATATTTTTCCTCTTCTAATTTATTGTGTCCCCTAAAATTTGCCCCTCTTTTAATGACCTTGTTGTCAGTTTCTGATATTAGATATTTATCGCCAGCTTGAAAAGTATGCAATTTTTTCCTTTTCGTCGTTTCTAATACTAGATATTTTTTCTATCAATTTAAAATTTAGGCGAATCGGTCGGCGAAGTTGAAGCAGTGCAAGCTTGATGCTCGTCGCGAGCAGTGGCTTTCTCAAGGTTTGTGGAAGATCTTGCTTTCCTTAGGATCTTAGATCTCTTACACATTCAAATTTCAATATATATACATACACACATATATTATATATGTGCAAAAGAATGCATGTGAGGACCTTGGTCTACCTTTTTTTTTATCGAAATTTGGTGCTTTCATCAATTTCTTATTTAACCTAGTGAATGCGTGTCCACTTGTAATATCCTTTAAATATCGGATAAGATTTAGTGATGAGGGGTTTGTTTATGGTTCCAGTGAAAAATAAGGGTGGGTGTAAGGATGAAGTGACCGGTGGAGCAGTTGCACATGGAGGGCCACCACTGCAACTGGTGACCAAGAGCAGCCGATCGATCGAGAAGCTGGAGAAGATAAAGACAAAGTGCGAGGATGAGATTTACGGAGAAGACGGATCGTTAATGAATCACTTCAGCGATTCCGAGTCGTTGCCTTCAAACAGCCCGACCAGCCACACAAGCAGCGTGTTGGGCAGCAATGATTCGGGGCTCAATTTCACCGCAAGCAGCAGAAGCAGCATAAGCAGCATAAGCAGCAGCGGTCGAAGTAGTAGCAGCAGCAGTAACTGTTTCTGCACAGGAAATATGAGCGAGGAAGATGAAGAAGGAGATGCTGATGTGGAAGACGATTGTTTGGATGATTGGGAGGCTGTGGCTGATGCCTTAGCTGCCTCTGATAAGAAACAGCAGCAAGAGCATACCCCTAACACAGGCTCTGGTTTAAAGAATCACGAAAATGCTATAGAATCTGGTACGCAGGTGGGAGTGGGACCCACAAGTGCAAATCAGGAGAGTGGAGGAACTGCCAAAGAGAGGTCGCTCGTAAATTGCTGTGCTTGGAGGCCTGACGATGCTTGTCGTCCTCAAAGCTTGCCCAATTTGGCGAAGCAATATAGTTTCCCCTTAAATTCGGAGCGGCATTTGGGCGGCAGAGGAGCTGTTTGGGCATGCAAGAATCTTGGACCGACACCCACTTCTTGTCCGATATGCTTTGAGGATTTGGACTGCACAGACTCGAGCTTTGTTCCATGTTCGTGTGGGTTCAGGCTTTGCCTTTTCTGTCACAAGAGGATTCTAGAGGAAGATGGGCGATGCCCAGGTTGTAGGAAGCAGTACGAGTTCGAGCCTCTTGAGGGAGAGGCTATGGTGGATGGCGGAAGCTTGACTTTTCGATTGGGGTTGACCAGGTCTTGTAGCATGATCACAAGGTCTTGAAAAAAGAGTCTCTGTTCTTCAGAAACTTGTATGTTGGGTTTCTCTCTTTCTCTGAGCGTGTCTTTGCGTTTTTGTCCTTTACTGTTAAGACTGTTTTCTTTTTGTTAACAGCCTTTAGATATTGGTATAGAAATGTGATTTTGAAAGCACAGGGGTTGATCTAGCTCGCTATCTCTCTCTCTTTCTTTCTCGTGGTTTTTTTGTGGATATGTTCTGTATTGTGCCTATGCCTTGTGCTGATGTAGAAGACTTGTTATGTGAATAGATAAAGGTGATAGAAAAAACTGAATACATATTACTTCTCGACTGTGGTATTTTTGCCGTTTGTGTTTTGGTGAATAAATGTATGGTAGTTGGAGTTTCTTGGGAGAATTGATTCCCCTGTCTGATTTGACTTAGAGTAATTGACTATCCAGCCCCAGTTAGTGTTTTGGATTTGGATTGGTGAAGTAGAGTATTTGTACGTTATGTTAATCCGTGTAGAGAGAGATCAAGCGAGCAATAACCTTCCATGTTGTTATATTGAAGAGCCTTTATGGACCGCCTTGACTGATCAAGCTGTTATTTTCATTTTGTTCGTTTTTTTCGTTAGACAGGCAAAAGTTCCATGTTCGATAATCCGATTATTACTTTGATTGTTTCCTACTATTTAGTCTTGGGACTTGATTTAAATCACCTTGAGAATATTCGAACTTAGAGGGCAATATGATTTTGAAAATATATGATTGCAGAGTTGGATAGCTAAAAATAAATAAATGTTAAATATCTGTTTATTATTATTATTATTCTTTTATTTTTTCGTACGCTTTGGTTTGCTGATCTGTTAAATATGCTATATGTAAGAGCAGTTAATCTGGTTTTGTTTTGCCATAACATCTAGTTGTGTTGGAGTGAAGACAATGCCATGTGAGGCTGATATAAGGATTATTACTTGCTGATTTGGATTACTGGATTAGTTGATTTCTTGATTTGTGCTCATTTTGGAGTGTTGTTATCTGTTAATGCCCGACACCATCCCCACCCCCACTCTCTCTATCTCTCTCTGTATATACATATATATATACACACACGTAAGTAAAGTACATTCTCGTAGGTGCTCCTGCCCCAGTGGAGAAAGCAGATCATCTGATGCCACGGTACAGGTAACATGAAACTACACTACACTTTGTGTTTTTTTGTTTTTTTGGTAGATGCTCGTACTTTTAATTTGATAGAAAGGGGGCAATTAATGCTTGGTAAATGTCTCGACTAATTGGTAATAGTTTCCGTACCTTTTTTTTCTTTTCGTAGTTCAATCGATTTTAGCTTTTAGCTGTGCTGCTAGTGCTACATATGATTTTAGAGAATTTTATGTTTTGTTGCCTAACAGGTAAAAGTCTTCTTTAGCTATCACTTTTCTGTTCAAAGGTTTGGCAATCTACTTTGTTCAGTGTTTTTTGTTTAATTAATCCTGACTGTTGGTCTAACTAAATTTGTAAATTATAAATTTCCCCTCGACTTTTGCTTGATTTTCGTATTGCGCCTTTTGAGTCGGGTGTTTGTCGAATACATCCTATCTTTAAAGGGTAATTTGTAATTGAACTCAGAGCTCGAGTTCGGCAATTGAACTCTGAGCTCGAGTTCGGCAGGACTTCATAACATATCAAACAAAATTATGTGTTCGAATGCGACTGGCCACGTTAACAAACATAGAAGATTTTACCAAATGATCTCGAATGGAGTACTGAGTAACTTGAACTTAATTTTCAACCCTATGTATACGACAAGGATCTTCTTATGTATATACATATATATGTACTTTCATAATACTCAGATCGATTAGAAGAAACACGATTCAAACAACAATTAGTTTCTAGAAAACTCGGAAAATTTGATAAATTCTACGTAGCGACCGAAACAAAAACCCCAATTCTTTTTTATTTATTTATTAAATTTCACAAGACATCACACTTACAAGTTCACAGTACAGGACAAATTAATTAATTTATTTAAATATCATGCATGACAACATTAATTTTGGCAAACATTAGTAGCCATTAACATGAGGTTTAGCCACAGCACAAAGTGCACTCTTCTTATGCATTGCCATTCCAGGCAATGCATCAAAAGTAACATCCTCACCCTTCATTCCATAAGGCAATTCCCAATCGAACGCGTTCAACAGATTGGCCAAACAAATCTCGACTTTCGTCATGCCAATCGATATCGCCGGGCAACCCCTACGCCCTATTCCGAACGGAATAAGCTCCGGGTCCCGCCCCCTCACGTCCACCTAGCTCCCCAAGAATCTCTCCGGCGAAAACTCGTTAGGGTTTTCCCATATCTCGGAATCTCTTCCGATAGACCATGCATTGATGTACACCAAAGTTCCGGCCTCGATTTCGTAACCATCTATGGTACATTTTTGCATGGTCTCCCTTGGGGCTAAAAGTGGAGCTGGTGGATACAATCAAAAAGTCTCCTTTATGACTGCCCTTAGATAGGGAAGGTTTGCAATGTCGTCTTTGTCTATTAAATCTTTTTTCTTGTTCTTGGCGAATTCCCGTATTTCCGTTTGGACTTTCTTCATTATCGAAGGGTTCTTGATTAGGGCCGTCATTGCCCATATTGGGACACAACTGAACTCGGATCTACTCCACCCGATATAATATTCTGCAAATTGAAAAGATGTGTTTGAAAAGTACTTAGGCCTCGTTTGGCTAACAAGATTATAGTCAGCCTTTATTAGTTAAGTATTATTGGGAAGATTGAGCTTTTATATTCTTACGTGGATCGGTCCCCACCGGAGATTTCCCCCTGAGAATCTCCAATGGGTCCATCACAATCTGAGTGTCCGGGAATACGGCGTAGTTTTGCGTGACGGCGAAATCATGAACGAACGAAGCACTGTTTAAGGAGAATATCGGCACCTCCTTCTGCTTCCTCCCGTCGGGGCTGATTCTGAACACCGTCATGAACGGGCGCCGGAGTATGTTGTAACTGAACGCGAAGACCTCTCCGGTGGCCGGATCGACCTTCGGGTGGGCCGTCATGCTCGTGAACGGCTTGCCGTGCTGGCGGCCGACGGTGACCAACAAGGCCGTTCCTGAGATTTTGGAAGCCCTAAGCAAGTTTTGAAGACGAAAAAAAATGGGGCTATTGGATTTTATGTCTACGTGGCACTGACTTTTGACTGGATAAGTTTTACTTAGCTTACTAGTGATGGGAGTCACCATCTTGTTAGTTCCCATTTATATATATATATAGATTGTAATTAATTAATTTTTGGTTAATCAATACAGAATACACTTTTTAGATATTTTTGTTATCTTCAATACTTGATCTCTCTCTCAAGCTTTAATGAGGGGCCCTTCTAAAATCAAATATAAAACTCATCCTTTTTTTAAAAAGGTGATAAACTTTATATTAACTCGTTTTTGTAAGGTATATAGCCAATGACAAGGCTATAAATTTGTGATACAGTGGCATTAAAGTTTCCAGGGGTTTGGGAGCAGCGCCCGAAACTTTTTTATAAATAATTTACATAAAGTAGCACTAAAACAAGTAAATATATATAAAAATAAATAATTATTACATTATAAATTTAATAATTAGTGGGCCCAGGAGATTAGAGAAATTATAAAAATAAGTAATAATAGTTTATTTATATCTATTTATGAATTAGGGTTCTCAATGATTATATAATTTTGGATAAATGCTAATATATAAAGGGTATAAAAAATTGGCCGCCCTAAATTAAAAAAGAAAATCCAGGGGCCCTGGTATCACAAAGTACCAAAATACTATATTTGAGGGTGCAAAATAGAATTAAACGTGAGAGTAAATATATCAGATATTAATAAATGTTGCTCAATTATTCCCGGTAATAATATACATCCAACAAACATATATTTTATTCATCAAGTGAAGATAGAAATTATTATACAAGAGTGTAAGCTTACACATTGCACCTATACATCTAAAGGCAGGTTCCCTCATTTAATAAAAAAAGGAAAAAAAAAGTGAATATAGAAATTAATTCCATAAATAACTCGGCAAACCAATTGGCAAATTATGGCACAACACACACACACACAACCTTATTTTACATATATTAATTATATCAATACATATGAAGTTTGGCCACAACACACAATGCATTCTTCTTATGCATAGTCATTCCAGGCAACACATCAAAATCAATATCCTCTTCCTTCATCCCAACAGGCAATTCCCAATCAAAACTGCGCAAAAGATTAGCCAAAGCAATCTCTATTTTCGCAACCCCTATCGATATTCCAGGGCAACGCCTTCGCCCGATCCCGAACGGAATCAACTCGGGATCCTTCCCCTTCAAATCTATGTCACATTTCAAGAATCTCTCGGGCAAGAACTCGTTAGGGTTTTCCCATGTTTGCGGGTCCCTTCCGATAGCCCATGCGTTCAAGTACACCAAAGTTCCGGGTTCGATTTCGTAACCGTTTATGCGACATTTTTGGATTGTCTCTCTTGGAGACAAAAGTGGAGCAGGTGGATATAATCGGAAAGTCTCTTTTATGACCGCCCTTAAATACGGAAGATTTGAAATGTCGTCTTCGTCTAATAAATCTTTATTATCTATTGTTGCCAATTGCCGTACCTCTGTCTGCACTTTCTTCATTATCAAAGGGTTCTTGATTAGGGCTGTCATAGCCCATACTAAAAGAGCTGAAGTCGTGTCGGTTCCGGCGGTTAATATATTCTGCAAGTATTAGTTTATCGAAACGAGTGAATATAATTGCTAAAAGTCTAAAACCGACTTTTTTTGTGTGTGCTAATAAACATAGGGTAAATTGCACATGACCCCCTGTAAAATTCTATTTTTCGCACTTTACCCCTTCATTTTTTTTATTAGTGAGCGTTCGTTCCCCTTGAAAATGTTATTTTTATTGCACATTGCCCAGATAGCAAAACTTTGATGGATTATTCATCGAAATTGAGTATTTTTGTTGCACGTTGCCCCTTTTAAATATTATTTTTGTTGCATGTTGCCCCTTAAAAACACTATTTTTTTTGCACATTGCCCTTTAAAATGTTATTTTCGTTGCACAAAGCCCTCTAATAATTGACTTCAGGGGCAAAGTGCAACTAAATTAAAATTTTGAAGTGGGAGTATCCCTTTTTCGAATTTTTCAAGAGAAAAGTGCAAAAATGAGAAATTTACATGGGGCAAAGTGCATTTTGTCAATAGATGCTTAATAATAATTAATAAGATTACCATGAGGAGTGCTTTGATGTGGTCGAAAGTAATATCAACCGAAGATGATCCATCCTTTCTGATCCCAAGTAAAAGATCAAGAATGTCACCTTCCATTGATTTAGGCCTATTTGAATAATCCAAGTGTTCTTGAATCAGTTCTTCATATAAAGAATCAAACTCCCTGAAATTCTTCTCAAGCCTTTTACCCATTCCGAAAAACTTGTCAATCCATCCCAATAAAGGAAAATAATCCTCCACAAAGAAGCCCGCCAAGAGGGACTGAGTTTCCCGGAGAAGCCCGGTCAACTCGTCCCCGCAACTCCTCCCAAAAGCCACTCTACATACCGCGTTGCTAGTAAACGAACGCATATACTCACTGAGGTCGGTAACCCTAGAGAGGGAAGCGTCCGCGGCTATCTTCCGGATCATTCTAGAAACTTCCTCTCGGAAAACGGGCCGGAAAGACCGGGCCTGCTTGACGCTGAAAAGATGGAGATTGGACACCCTTTTCATCTCCTTCCACGTGTCGCTGTACGACGAAAAGGCCACGTCCATGCCGTTGTACGACAGCTTCTGCAGGCTGACCAGAACGGGCCGGCCCGAGAAGCCGAGGTCGTGGGATTTCATGATTTCTTGCACTGTGTTCGATGAGGAAACGACCATGACTTTTCGGAACCCGAGCTTCATAAACATGAGCGGGCCGTATTTTTTCGAAAGATTGTACAGATATGTATGAGGGTTTCGGCCGTCAAATTGGTGCAGATTTCCGATGAACGGCAGCCCATGAGGCCCTGGTGGATTATGATGATGGTTGGTTTTGTGTTTTTGGAGATAGAAAAATATTAGGAATATTGGCAGAGATAAAAGAAGTAGTGTCAACATTTTAATTCTTAGTAATATTGTATTGGTGTAGGGCTTCTTTGGAATATATGTTCATTTTATAAGCCCGAGATATCGGTGTGGAAGGTATCGTCAGGGGGAGTTAGATGCTACGCCTCGTAGTATACACCGGGTGTTTGTTAACCGACACATACACATAGGTGTTTGTGATTCTGTGTAGATGTACGGTATGGTTAACAACCACTCCGTGTAAATAACTAGGTGTAGTAGCATCTAATTTTTCACTGGGATTTTATTGATGCTATATCTAATGATTTTAAAACGTAAATCTAAATATGATAATATACATAGTCATGCATGCATATGTGTATGTGTGCCTAGTGGGTAGTGGATTGTTAATTGTATAGATCTACGATTTAAAATCACCGAATGTATTTCATCAGTGTAGCATCTCATAGACCATCAAACTGGTGCAAAATTGTCTTTGATTTTTTGTCCAAGTACACGAAACTTAAACTCACTAATTAATTTCCAAAACAATCTCGTTTTCCTATTTTTAGGGGGGAAAGTGCAAAAATGGCATTTTTTAGGGGGGAGTGCAATTTGCCCTTTATTTTATAGACAGCCATCGAGTAGGTGCAGTTTGTAATTGAAATAAATTTAAAAAAATTGTAAAGTATATAATTCCTTTACAAAATCATGGATCTTTCTATATATACATCAAGTTTCTTCAATGATAGCTAATAATATTTAAGGTAAATTACAACCAAACCTCTAAGGTTTGCTATAATAGTTTTAAGATCTTTATAGTATTGATAATAATTACAATTACCCCTAAAACTAATGGAACGTTAGAAACCCTAATGTCAAGGGGTGGTTGTAAATACGAATATCATATTTTAATGTAATAGTTTAAATATTTTTTAATTGTTCAAAGTTCTAATTTTTTTCACCATTTTTTTATAGTCGTTGGTGCCACAAGGAGTAATTGTAATGAATGAACATAAATAATCGGTCCAAATTTTATTTATTTTTGAAAAAAAATAGAATTCCTAAATCTGGAAACCTAAAATCAGTAAAAACAGGAAGCTTAAAATTTGGAAATTAAAAACCATAAATGAGGTATGCTATAAATATAATAAATTCAAGTATAAATAGGACCAACATTTTTTTAATTCATTACAATTACCGGCTAGGGCACCAACGACTAAAAAAATGATTAAAAATATTAGAATTTTTACTATCAGGTCAAAATGTTACATTTAGCCATAAAGCATGATATAATAACTTTGAAGTCCTTGTGGTATTTGTTATTACAACCACCCTCGATGTTAGGGTTTCTAATGTCACGTAATTATCGATACAACATGGACTTATTCTTCTATTTGTCTGGTAAATGTAATTGAAATTGATTCTATTAGTAACCAGAATTGTGGTCCTCCTCCTATATGAATCGCTGGAAAGGCTATATATCGCCAAACTACCACTTTGTTAAGTACAACAGGTTGAAACTCTCTCATTCGAACTAATTAATTTTCACTCCTTTTGTGCTTCAAGGTGGTCCTAGTTGTAAACAACTTTGATTAGGTTGATGGGATTGATACTGAAGCCGGTGGCGAGTCCAGGAATGTGTTACATGGTGGACTTAAATTTTGCAGGGTACGGAGGCAGCTCTCCCGAATAAAAATTAGGATTTTTTTTGTGACAAAATCACAAAATAGGGATATAAAAAGAAGAAAAGAAAAAAATGAGTCTTTTGGCATTAATTTGAATTGTCGGTGGGCTAATTACTAATAATTGGGATTATTTTGCATTAATTTGGATTTTGGGTAAGCTAATTAATAAAAACTTAGTAGACTTAATAGATATATAGGTATAATATGAGAGAAAATTTGTAAATTAAGGGTGGACTCGCCCCTGATTGAAGCCTGCAGCCTTCTTTTACGCCTGAAAAATTGGTCGGATTCAACTGCGATTATTTGAGACGTACACAAGAAATTAACAAGGTTGGAGAACGAACAACTATGCAATGACTATTATATTGGAAGAAATTCATGATGTTCAAAAGGAAGGAAAAACTATAAACATAACACTAACGGAACCCTTTTAATTAATTGTAGGTGTCATGATAGACTGGTTATTGAAAAGTGTCACATTAGAGCGTCATTGTAGTGTCACCAAACACTTTTTTTTCGAATAGTTAGATGAAGTGCAAACTGAAAAGCCGATTGAGAAGGCTTATTTACCCTACAAAACAATAATATCTAGTGACTACACCAACTTTCACATAACTAGGCAGAAAAATATTGTCACTAATGAGGTGTCACTAATTTGAACATCGTCAACAAAATAGAATAAATGACAACAAAAAGAGCTAAAAAATGTTGTCACTTAATAATGTTATTTAGTGACAATTTTTTATGTTGTCATAATGTGAATGTCACTAATGCCATTTTTTCTTGCAGCACTTTTCATTTGCTCTGATTCTGATACCATGTTGAATTGACCACTTCAACCAAAAGTTTAAGTTGTTAGTAACCTGTATGATCTAATATTAATATTTTCAATAAAAAACATGATTAGGTAGTAGAAGATATATATAGGAATGTGACATAATTGTATATAATTTTTTAGCATCTCCAATATTAGTATTCCTAACTCTAATAAGGGAAATCAGCTGAACCAACTTTAACTTGATTGGTTTAATCTGTGTCATCTCATTGAAATTAGAACTCTAAAATGATTGTCTGCGAACTATTGTCATTTTAGTCTTTATGGAATAAATCAGCTGAACCAACTTTAACTATTTGTTTTCCATTTAAATTAAAATTTAAATTAATTAAGCAGGATAAATTTATTAATTTACAATATGAAATAAACAAATAATAACAATAGAGATGCGAATTAGAACCCATTTTTCAATTATTTATATCCTTTTTACACTGAGTTTTGCACCTCTGGCGTGGGAGTCAGA